GCTCAATCAACTTCACGTAATGTATCATCCCTCGGATGCGATGAGTGGGAACGAGCTAACAGCTGGTCTGTCTTTGCAATTCAAGGGGGTGCCATAGGAGCAGTAATGCCTGTGACACCATCACGATTAGGATCATTGTCACATCTTGTGTAGGAACGACAGATGCACGTGGACTGAACAGATGGATTTCGAACCTTTCGTCGGCGTTCTACTCATGAAAGAGTCCATCCCCGCCCCGCCCCTCCCCATAGCGGGTGGGCATTCTCACGATCTTGTTCTTCCTCCTCCTCCTCCTCCTCCTCCTACCTCCTCCTCCTCCTCCTCCTCCTCCTACTCCTCCTCCTCCTCCTCCTCCTCCTCCTCCTCCTCCTCCTCCTCCTCCTCCTCCTCCGCCTCATCCTCCGCCTCCTCCTCGAGGTTCACAAACCGGCTGGGGTCAGGCATGATGGGAATCTGCAAGGAACGTGAGACATGGCAACTACCCAGTCTTCCAGTACCTCTCGCATGAGCTCCAACACCTTGAGACCTTTCTCGACCGCAAGCCCGTTGCTGTGCTGAGTTTCCTTCGCCGGTGCCATCAGTGAGGAGCAGGATAGCGACCAGAGCGACACCTTGATACAAGTGTCGAGCATGAAGTTGAGGAGATCTTCGTCTGGTTCGAAGCCAGCATCTTGCATCTCCTGCGGGCGTGTGAAGATGGGAGAGGAGGATCGAAATCAACCTGGAAGACTGAAAATGCCTTGAAGATGCCGCTGGTCAACCCACTTCCTGATTTCGCACAAGCCTTGATGGCTAAGGGAATGGAGGAGAAGGGGAGGAGAACAAAGGGAGAGGGAGGGAGGGAGGAAGGGAGGAAGGGAGGAAGGGAGGAAGGGAGGGAGATCGTGTAAGTGGCAGCAGCGGTGTTTTCATGGCACTCACTTGCTATATAAGTCGCAGCATTCGGCCGCACTCCGTTCTCCCGCATCATATCGAGCACCTGGCCAAGATCACCATCCTCCCCCCTCCTTCCCTGGTAGACTGCAATCACCGACAGCGCCGTCGCAGCGAACACATGGCTCTCGTCTCGAGCAGCAAGAGCACAAGACTCCAGGAGGGCGTTGTAGGTGATGACGTTGCCGAAGGTCAGCCCGAGGCTCTTGAACTGCTCCATCAGCTCCAGGCTCTTCTTCACCTGGGAGCGGTCCTCAAGGTCAGCCAACATCTCCCCTCCCCACCCCCCTCAGGGCTCATAATCACGTTCGCCGCATACGCGTCGTCCCCTACGAACAGCTCGCAGCAAGGCCCTACGATGGTCTCCTCCGACTCGTCCGTGAAATCGTCGATCACGCTGTAGCTGTAGGAAAACAAGGCAGATGTCAACATCTCCTCCTCCTGCATCTCTCACGGCCCCACAAGTCTCCATCGGCTTCCCGCAAGAGCGCGTCCCTCATCCCGTTCAGCATCGCCCTGGGCAACACTCAAAACGGCCCAGCGCCTCCGCACGACAAGTCACCTTGCGTGATCAGCAGAGGTTTTGTTCAGCTCCGACTCCCGCAGGATATCAACCTGGCACACACGATCATCCTTGACGGGTCGATCGTCATCGCTCAAGGTCTCACTCGATTCTTCCCTACAAACGGCGATTCCGCCCAGTTGACATCCGTTGAGACCCAGGTGAACTCGCCCTCGGGGCCCTGCTGGGACGTCTTCTTCCTCTTGGACTTCTTGCTCTCAGCTGGCGCCTGGCTCCGCTCGTTGATGCACTTGGAGGACGCGGTCAGCCGCTCTTGAGGGCGGGAACAGCAGGCTTACGAAGAGCTTCGTGCGAGAGTTGGGCACGTCCTCCACCGCAAAGATGTCGCCGCACTGCATCATCAGCTGCGCCAGCGCGTCAAGGAGGAGGAGGAGGAGGAGGAGGAGGAGGAGGAGGAGAGAGAGGAGGAGGACTGGACTGACCTGCCGGAGAGAGATCTTCTTTCCGTTCTTGTATCTGAAGAGGGCTCAAGGAAAATCTCCTCAGCAACTGACGGCCTCGTACCTCTCAAGGCTGTCGGTCGGGTAGTTGTACAGCCATCGCTTCTGAAACTTGGTCGACTCCAGCTACATTACCATGAGCGAACTCACAAGCCGAATTTCGGCTCACCTTGCCGCCAGCCTCACGGAGGAGGACGTACGCCTTGGCTACGAACTCACCGAGGATAGGGTTTTCCTGCTTCTTGCCCGACTTCTTGCTCGCAGTGGAGTTGTCGAGTTGCTCCTCGGGCATCGACGGGATCTCGCTCTTCTTTCTTCTGGCTTGCACAGTGACCCTCCCATGGACTCTGCAAGCTGCTTCTCGACGCATGGCAGAGCCAGGAGGGACCAAGGAGGGCACAAACGCGGCCTGCGATCTTGAACCAGCCATTCTTGCCGGACTTGACCACTGCAGAGCAACATCGAGATAGCTCTGCCCTCGGTTCTCGACCCCCGGCAGGCACGCAGCCAGCACAGCCAGTGCAAGGAGAAGGCTCAAGGGCATGACCTCGACTGGTAACCTTCACCAAGTTTCTCTCCTTCGCCCTCTCCCTTCCTCCGCCGCTCCACGCCCCCTCACACCGTCTCTTTGTTCTCCGGCGTGATCCCTCCCCCCTTCCCTTGCCAACCCTGTCTGTCTACTCGCCTGTCTACTTGCCTGTCTACCTGTCTGTCTACCTGCCTGTCTACCTGTCTGTCTACCTGCCTGTCTACCTGTCTGTCTACCTCCCTGTCTACCTGCCTGTCTACCTGCCTGCCTGTCTACCTGCCTGTCTACCTGCCTGTCTACCTGTCTACCTTCGCCTCCCCTTCCTCATCCCTCCCTCTTCCCTCCTCTCCATCGAGTTCATGGTGCGACCCGTTCACCATGTTTCCCTGTTGGGGCAGCAATTTACCAATAGCTGCCTTGTGATGTTGCATTTTGCTGTCTTGTAACCACATCCCCGCTCAGCCTTCGTCCGTTGAGCAGTATGGTGGGCTGCTTCCGAGGGAGGCAGAGGAGAGCGGCGACGATGACGAGGAGGAAGGTGTTCATGGTGAAGTATGCCATGGGAAGAAGATCAACGTGAGGAGATGGCGTCCATAGCGTGAAGGATCCAGGTCTGCACATCCCATCTTGCCTGTCTGGAGGTTCGCCACCGCAGGGAACATGCCGGAAGACGCGCTTCACTTGATGATATCTGGACTGAGGGCTGTTGGGAGGCCCCAGGCAAAGTTTCCAGGGCAGGAAACATGGCATCCCACCGCGATGGTGAGGTCAAGCTCCATGCAGAACCAGAGGAAAGTGCTGAGGCTGACTGACTCGCTGTCTGAACGCGCGCAAAGCTCAGACTCGAAGGTGCTCCCAGCCACTGCACAGCAGGAGCAGGGCAGCGGGAGGAAGAATGTCGGGTTCAAGGTGGCGAAGCTGAAGGAGGTGTTGGAATACGGGCGAAGTCAGGATCATAACCAGAACTTCGGGCAAGGCAGGAGGACGGCAGGTGACGTCGATGCCAAGGGTTTCTCTATCGACTGCATGCCGATCTCCAAGGCGCCGTCTACAGATGTCATCCGAGATAGGACGAGGAGGCAGTCGACCATCGTCTTCAGCAGCAGCAGCAGCAGCAGCGATCAAGGAGCGCAGAGGAAGGGGATACAGGTGGATGTAGAGCTCGAACGGCAGAAGGCATTACAGAGGATAGCGTTGAGGAAGGTGCAGGAGCAGGAGAGGCAGCAGGCTGAGAAGGAGCAGCTTGACAAGCGGAGGTCGGAGAAGATCGAGATGAAGAGGATGATGGATGAAGATGTGCAAAGACGGAGAGCTCAGGTGTACGCGCTGAACTACCTGATGCAGCAGCAGGAGGTACTATTCTCCCCCTCCCCCACCTCCTCTTCCTCCACCACCACTTCTCTTCCTCCCCCACCTCCTCTTCCTCCTCCACCACTTCTCTTCCTCCTCCTCCTCCTCCTCCTCCTACCCTTCTCCTCTATCCCACCCTTAGGTTTAATCCTCCTTGGATTGACGATGATGTGCAGTGGGCGTCCTGGCAACAATTTTCTGAGGAACATCTCCAGTGAAGGAGAGGCAGGAAGCGTAATTGAGAGGACGAGGGGGTGAGAAGGGGGGGGAAGGGGGAAGTGAGCGATATCATATGGTTAGCATCAATGTACAGAAGAATAATTTACATCCTCCTCCCTCCGCTCCTCGCGAGGTTCTGGTTTTCCTCTCGAAGCTTCAGCTCCAGCTCTCGTGCTTGAGCCTGCGGAACGATCAGGAGCATGCAGGAGAAGTAAGGAGAGCAAGAAGGGGAGCAGCAACTTAGGGTTTAAGGAAGGAGGGAGTAGGGAGGGAGGGAGGGAGGAAACTTGGCAACCTGTGCCTCCTCAAGCTCTTTCGCTGCTTCCTCCTTCTCCCGTTGCAGCTTCTCAAAGTGGTTCAACCTCTTCCTGGTGGCAGAAGCCTCCTCCCTCGCCCACAACACATGCTCCACGTCGCCCGTGATGGCCGTCATGCCTTCTGCCTCTTCCGCCTGCCTTTGGAGCTTCCCTAGAGGAAGCACGCGCCCTCGCTTGCGGATTTCGCTGAGCCTCCTCCTGCAGACGAGGACACGGCTGGTCGCTAACTTGTAGGCGTGAGCGAGGGAGCTAGCCCTCCCTCTCGCCTCCTCCTCCTCCTCTGATAGAGCTGGGAGGCTGCTGATCGTGACCCTCAGCTGCGCGCTGGCTGTTCCCAGCTTGCAGGTGCACACGATCTTGTACACCCCGTGCGAGGGAGTCAGGCAGGTTCCGGCTATGGAGCCGCTGCTGGGGTCAAGCTGAAGGCCGTCAGGGAGGGAAGGAAGGCAAGAGAAGAGGAAGGGGCGCGAGAGGTCGAAGCAGGCGGCCGACAGGTCCAGCCCGTTGAGGAGGGGCGGGAAGGACTCGAGCAGCTCTCCAGCAGCAGCGCTGAGGTCGGGGAGGGGGTACGAGAGCTCCCGGGGCTTGGCCTTTTCGAGCTGGAGGCGCATGCTGGTAGTTCGCGCCACCTCCTCCTCGAGGGAGAGGAGGACGGGGCTGATGTGCAGGCCGAGGGAGTCGAGGATGCTCCTTGCACGCTTGATATGATGGGCGGCAGAGGGAAGGTCCTTGCTCCTGCAGAAGAGGACCGCAAGCCTCTCCTCCTCCTCTGCGTCCCTCGCGCCCTTGAGCGCGACCTCGTCCAGGCTCGAGAGCAGCCCTTCGACCTGCTCAGCCCGTGCGAGGCAGCCGATCTTGGCGAAGGTCGACATGGAGGAGGACAGGTACATCCTGGCACGCGCCACCTCAAAGTTCTTCGCCGCTCTCCTGCCCTCTGCGAGCCAGAGCTCTGCCGTAGCCAAGAGAGAGCGCGAGGTCAGCAGCTTCGCCCGCAGCCCTGAGATGTATCTCCTCCTCTCCTCCGCCGTCTTCTCCGTCATCCTCTCATGCTGGACCAGCCGGGCCGCTTCCTCCAGCACCTGCTCGCTCTCCTCCAGCTCCCCGAGCTGCAGCCGCTGCTCGGCTGTGAGGAGGAGCTCGTCGCATGCTGCGCAGCTCTCAGCGAGGAAGCGGATCTCCATGTTCATGGTGGCGGCGATGCCCTGCCAGAGGAGGAGCGCTGATGGGTGTCCTGCTTCCAGCTTCTCCTCCTCCTCCCCCTTCGGGCTCTGACTCCTCCCCTCCTCCTCTCCTCGGCGCTCGACCACGGGATCGCGCTTGTCCTCTTGGGAGGTGCAGGGAAAGGGGATAGGATCGGGGGGGGAAGGGAGCTCCCCGCAGGGGAAGGCAGGGAACGCCTCCTTGAAGACAACCATGATCCTTCCGATGCTCTCCCGCATGGAATGCTTCCTCGCTATCCCCCTCTCTGCCTGTCCGATCATCATCGTTATGCTCCTCATCTTCTGCTCGCAGTCGAGCATGTTGGTCTCGCACTCCCCAACCATCTGCTGCATTTTCGCCAGCACCTGCCGCCTGAGCGCCAGGGCCGGGAGGAGGTACCTCGCCTCCTTGATGAGCTCCAACGCCGTCTGCGCCCTCCCCTCCGTGGCGAGGAGGTAGCAGGAGGACACCCGGGCTTGCACGCTCTCCGTCACCCTCCTGAACTCCTCCTCAATCTCCCTCTGCAGGGAGTCCAGCTGCGGGAAGTTCTTAGAGGATGAGATGATCGACAGGGACGCGCGAGCATGGTCATGAGCTTGCTGCGCCTCCTGCAGCCTCCTCATCATCAGGAAGAGCACCCCCTGCTCCAGACGAGAGCTCGCCTCCTCCTGCAGCCTGTCAGACACGGTCTCGATCCCCAGCTCCAGCTTCTCGATCTCGACCAGCTTGTTGCTCGGGCTCTCGACCCTGTGCACCCCAGCTTCCCTGAACTTGAGGACGGCGGCCACTAACCGCTCCCTGCTCTCCCTGATCCTGTTCCTGTTGAACAGCTCCTGCGCCCCCGACAGTAGCTTCTCCCCTTGCATGATGTTCATCATCGCCTCCTTGACCTCCACCCTCAGCCGCTCGCTCGCTCCCCCGTCGTCATGCCCTGCCCGTCCGAAGAACTCGGTCGCCTCCGTCAGGGTGGCACGAGAGGTAAAGGGATCTCCTCCTCTCAGCTGCTCCTCCGCTTCCTGCAGCAGCTCCTCCCCTCGCGCCCGCTGCTCCTCCGCCGTCCGCACGATGACAACATCGAGGTCTTCCAGCTCTGGGAGGAGGGGGTGCTGAACTTGAAGATCGAGCGCAGCGACATCCTCCTCCACCAGCTTTTTCACCTTCCTCCATGCCGTCCTCCCGTCCACTGCGTTGGACTTGGCAAGGGCGAGCTGAGCCTTGTCCAGGTGCATCCTCTGAAGCTTCTCCCGATCCATCGCGCTCTCGTACAGCAGGACAAGCTCTTCCTCCTTTTCCTTCACTTCATTCCCCTCCTCCAGCCCCTCCAGCCGCTCCACCGCGTTCCTCACCTTCTCCAGCACAGGGAGCACCTCCTGGAGCTGGTAGGCGCGATAGTTGTCAGCGGCAAGGGAGAGGGAGGAAAGGCAGGAGGAGCGGAGCTCGGCGATCGTGCTGGACGCGTCGAGCTGGAACTGCGTGACGAGGGGAAGCCTGTCCTCGAACTCCCTGCCGCACTGGGAGAAGACCGTGCCGGAGGACGAGAGAGCTCCCGCAGACGCGTAGAGGGAGGAGGCCTCCTCGAGGAGGGAGAGGGCGTCCTTTATCTTGCGCTCCATCTCCTTCCTAGCTCGCGCGTACACTTCGTCGGCAGACGCGATGATCAGCCTCAGCTGCTGGATTGTCTCCTCCTTCTCCAGGTAGAGGAAGTGATCGAGGAAGAGGGGCTGCGGGAAAAAACGTCAGAGGGAGGAGGAGGTTATGGAGGTGGGAAACGTAAGGGAGAGGACGAAGGAAGTTCAGGAGGAAGAAGGGGAGGGGACTTCAGGAGGAGGAGGAGGAGAGGACTTCAGGAGGAGGTGATGGAGGGAGAGGAGGAGGAGGAGGAGGAGGAAGGGAGGGGCGGAGGGGGAGGGGAGGTTGAGGAGACATCAAGGGGAGGAGGGGATGAGAACGTCAGGGGGGGGAGCGGGGGGTTCAAGGACCTTGCTGCTGAGGAGGATCTCAAGGCTTTTCTTCCACTGGCTGTGAAGCATGAGGACAAACGCGTCGAGGACGAAGTGATCCTCTGCTGCAAACTTGACAAACATGCCGTTCTCCCCGTCGATCACCCCCACCAACCAGTTCTCCTGCGCGTTCCGCCTGTCGACTGGGATGGCGAGGGAGGAGGAGGAGGGGAGGGAAGAGGAGGAGGTGAGGGAGGAGGAGGAGGAGGAGGAGGAGGAGGAAGGCAGGAGGAGGTAAAAAAATAATACAGGAAGATCGCCCCTGCGTCTTGGGTGGGAGTTGGTTTTTTTTCTTTTTTTTTTTGTTTTTGGTCTTTTTTGCTCTTCCTG